AAGGAAGGAAGGAAGGAAGGAAGGAAGGAAGGAAGGAAGGAAGGAAGGAAGGAAGGAAGGAAGGAAGGAAGGAAGGAAGGAAGGATTGTATTGTATCAAATCAAAAGTCCTTGTAGACTATGTATGCAGAGCTGCCTAAGGCCTTGTTTTCTCATAGTAACTGGAGCTGCTGTGAGTGAGTTCCATTATAAATCATACAAATTAAAAAGCATTACTAAGGTGGCAAACTTCAAAACATTCATTTCCTGAAAGACATATCACAGAATCTTCTGTGGCATCACAAATGATTCCGGAATCACACTTAAATGTATTATTGCATCAAGAAGCTGCTTTAGTACAAGATCAATATGAATGCTAAGATGTTTTTTCCTTGGGCTCAACATTGGCAAGACCAAAAGATTAGAATAGGGGTCTACAACCTTAAACACTCAAAGAGCCATTTGGACCCATTTCCCACAGAAAAGAAAACACTGGGAACCAATAATTTAACAACTGGTATGACTGGGTGAGCATGGCCAATTCAACGTCACTCACTCCCACCCAGTCACCGCCTGCTCTGGAATATGGAGCGAGTCTCCATCCCCTGTCATCATCCTTGCCTTCTCAGGCCAGGTGAGGAGTGACAGGGAGGGGTGGTGGCAGCCAGTGGTGGAATCAGCCAACAGGGAGCCACAACAGAGGGCTGAAAGAGCCACACGTGGCTCCAGAGCCACAGATTGCAGACCTCTGGGTTAGAACAGTGTTTCTCAACCTGAACCATTTTTAAGATGTATAGAACACAACTCCCAGAATTCTTTAGCCAGCATGCTGACTGATGAATTCTGGGAGTTGAAGTCCACACATCTTAAACTTGCCAACTTTGAAAAGTTAAACTCTCTTTTGATAAATTACATGAAAACACAAGGTTCCTGTACTGGATTCTCATTATGAATCATTCCATATGGATTTTTCTCCCACTCAAGACTTTTTCCCTGTTTTTGTCATACTGATATATTTTTTTCACATCGTACTATATCATGAAATCTTCCACTGTGTTTTGAGTCTCATTTCCTCCCATAAAATTCTATCAGTCTCTTGTATCTTTAAAAGAAGCATTGAAATGTCAGTATAATCCCATCTAAGCACACCCACAGGCTTGGAAATAAAATAGAAAAATTAAAACTTCCCTCCCAGTAAAGCGGGTAGGAAGTCTATTCCAGACTAGTAACTAGTATGGACTTTTTCAGAATGTATTATAGACTTTTTCATTTGTAGGGGTGCCCTTTACATTTTACTTCTTTTAAAAGTACATTCAGATTTCTCTCAGTGCATTTCGTTGGAAGTCAGTTTGTCAAATTTAAATAGGTCTTTTCATGTCAAGATTTGGCAGTGTTGCAGTATAAACTATATCAAAATAATTCTATAACATTATTTTTATTATTATTCTTGAAACAAACCAGTTGCTATGTCATTAAAAGAAGCTTGGAATATGAAGATATATTTCTAGAACAAAAACTAAGATGTTTTCTTTGAATTTGGTAACATTACACCAACCCATTCTCGGACGTTCTACCACTCCTACTATGAATTTCAGTCACTTAAAAATCTTAAATAAAACATATCTTCTTATGTTTAAGATCTGGTTTTAACACACCTTGGTCAGGAAATTGAATTATGGCTAAGCTTCTGTCTTTAAACCATTTACTTAGACATAAGTATTGCAAACAATATCGTCCCATATGAACTACCAAATGATTAAGCATTAAGAAAGGGAGCTAAGAATAGAACACACTGATAAATTCCTATTGGCTTTTTAGTCAAAATTGGTCCATTAATATTATGTTTTATGTGTACCAAATGTAAATATGTTTTTTTTAAAGAAATGGATCTAGTGGCAATGGAAAGTAAGAAATATATCACTTAACAATGCAATCCTACAAAACCTATCTGGGAGTAAGTCCCATTGAAGAAAACTTCTGAATAGAAATGTATATGATTGCACTATACTGGTACATAAAAGAGATATATACACTTGAAAAAAACTGCATTTGAACAAATTGTTACACTGGCTAATATGACTATATATAGAAAGTAATCCCTATGATTATTTGGGATAAATACAAGGGGTTAAGTTGTATAAAAATATAGCAATGAACATCTGTGGAGATTTTTTAAAATAATAATAATAATAGTAATACTGATGCTACCATCAAAACAATGAGAAGAAGATATAATCTCACAATTTACATTTAATATTTGTTCTATATTCTACACACAGAACCTAGACCTTATCAACCTATATTCCATTATTAACGTATTTCATCAGTGTACTCACATGGTGGGTTCAAAAATAACTTGGCAACAATTCTGCAATGTCCTTGCAAATGCCCATAATCTTAAACAGTTTAAGATCTCAGGCAAAAACACTGACAGGCTGGAGCGTACTTTGTTGGAGTTCGTTATAGAAAATGCAGGTTCAATTCTTGGTCATAAAGACCTATAGGAGATGGGAGAGGTATTCCTGTATCCTGTTCCTGTATACTGAACATGCTTGACCAATCCATCCTCAAACCCCATCTTCGGGCCCTCTCGATGTACAGTATAGAATGGAATTTCCTGGATGTTCAATTTATAATGGTGACTTCAAGAAATGTATCTTATACAATAGAGAAGCACCAGATTGGAAGGATGATAAAAATGGAGTTTGGGTGGGAAGGTGGGTTTTGTTGTTTTTAATGGGGAGTTGTATATGAAAACATTATTAGCAATAGCATTTAGGCTTATATACCCTCTCTAAGCTGTTTACAGAGTCAGCCTATTACCTCCAACAATCTCGGTCCTCATTTTACCGACTTCGGAAGGATGAAATACTGAGTCCATCTAGAGCCTGGTGAGAATCGAACTGCCAAACTGCAGTCAGCTGGCAGTCAGCAGAAGTAGCATGCAGTATTGCATTCTAACCACTGCGCCACTGCAGCTTTATATTAATAAATAATAACAATGTATTAAATTATAAGATGAGAAAAATAGCACAAAGTTAGGTTTCTTAAATACCAAAACCATTAATAAAGTAAAAATATTCTAATTACATCCAAGATGGTCCCTAAGTCTTATGAAGTAGTTAGAAAAAACTATGGTGACTTTTCAGAATAAAACAGCAATTGCCAAATGGCCTTTAGCTGCTCAGCCCTATTGATCAATTAGATAAATGATCAAATTTTCAGCTAGGGCGATCAGGCTTTCCTTCGAGCCACCCAAGGAGCCTATCCCTTATGAACATAAATACATTCTAATTTGGAAAGGGGGCAAGCAAGGGGCATATTTTATTTGTTAGAATTGTAGCAGGCCTTATCTTAAGAGGGGCCAGCTTCTTGCAGTGTTGGAGGGGGCAGTGCATGTATGGAAGAAAGTGAAGGTGAAAAATTTCTTCTGTGATATTGTCTGCTATCTATCATTTCTACAAAAATTCATTGGCAGGAATATTTTCAAAATTAATAAAAACTGCCTTCTGTCTCAATTCATTAAAAAAAAACCAGGCAACGGCCATGACCCAAGTAACAGTAATAAAACACAAAATCTATTCTTTCAATAGCACAACCAAATCCTAGACTTCTGGGCCTCTTGGCTTTGGCATGTTTGTTGTGATATAATGTCAGGTGACTAACTGGATGCATCCTACTCTGTGTATATCTCTATGCCCTTCATACCGAGCAGCCTTCCCCACCTGGGTGCCCTTCCACATGGATTGGACTCCATCTCCCAGGATGCCTAGCAGCAGCAGGAACGAATCCAGTCAGGTTGGCAAAGGCAGAATATGGAGATGAAGATAGTAAAACGCCTGCTTCTTGCTACAGAAAAGGGGGAAACACAGGGGAATTGGTATCCAGGGCTCGAAGATGTGGCAGCCAGGAAGGTGGGAGAGGGTTAAACAAGGATACCAAAGTGCTTCAAAGGAATGCACACCAGGACTTGCTTTTGTATACACAGTGGGCCATTCATGGCTGCAGGGAACTGACACTTACAAGTTGCTGAAAAGCCGGTTGATCTATGTCACTCTGCAAGGCGAAATCGCTGAGGACTTTCCAGGGCGGCTGGTAACTCTGTACTTCCACTGGGTTCGCCTGCAAGCCACCGTCGTGTCTCTCCGGACTGGCTGCCACCATAGGGGTGCCCGTCATTCCCTGGATGTTCTGCAAACAAGGTAGCACAGGCAATGAGCAGCCGCACTAAAGGCACCTTAGATGCCTGGAGCATAAAAATAAAAAAGCTATCGGCTGTGCTTAGCTTTAATGCACACTCTTCCCAATCCTCTACGTTCCTCTGTCTTTCATAGCATCTGGAACTAGAGGGCTTTATCCCCTTAATGAAAGTAGTACTATTAAGGAACAGACCCATTTCTAACCTGAAACAACCCTGAAGAGCACATGCACATGAGCAAAACTCCCATTCCACGTAGACTTCCGGTTGCATTTAGTATCAGAAGGGTGCCTCTCTTGATCCGCAATCTATGTTGCTGTTCTATATATCCCCTGTGTCCTCCAAACATGTGGCATCCCCACCTCTCAACCAATCCAGAGAAAGCTATTGTTCTCAGAGATCTGTAAGACAATGAGTCAACTGGGGGGGGGAAAATGTCACCATTGAGTTTAAGATGATCGTTTCAGTTCTAGAAAGGTAAACAGAAATTCTTGTCTATATTTTCAGAGAATCTAAACCAGTTCCCAAGTTAAAACATAAATCATTGGAGCAGGGTCCTTTCACTAAAAAATACAGTTGAGAACAAATGCACTTAGGCATTATAATGAGAGTGCCATGACAGTCAAATAACAGCAAAAAAATCAGGAATCTCATAGCACTTTTTCCAACTAAGTGATTTTATTAAAAGGCATCATCACAAAAGCATATTGCATTTCATAAAACTTGCTAGTCAAAAAAGGAGCTAAAAGATTCCTCTTGATTTTGAATCCAGAAATGAGAGCTGTTGAAATCACATTCTAGGATGCACTTTTATCTGAGAGTAGGTTCCAGTCTCCTTAGTGAGGCTTACTTTTGAGTAAATTATTCATAAGGAAGGCTTTACAGCAACCATGTATTGAAAAGGCAGTAAGATTCAGCCAGAACATAACAGCCTCTCCAGATTCTGAAAATCTTTGTTTGTTGTTTTCCTTTCAGCTTCCATTTTTTTTTCTTTGAGATTGGTGGGGGAGGGAGGAGATCAAGGCTGTGCAATGGTGAATCTGCCATCTCTATTACTCAAACACATGCTCCTATTTTTTTTGACACCCTCTTTCCATCCCCTTCCACTTTCTTTTGCTGTCTCTACTTAGTTATTTAATCAGAAGGAAGCATATGATAGCTATACCACAGAACTGACTTGTTGAGACTTCCTTTTGAGGAAATGTGTCTTGATACTCTTCTTCACTAAGAAACTTGGTTTCATTAGTGGGAGTTATATTAGAGCTACCAGTTCTGGCCTCCAAATATCCACATGGAAACAACGTTCTCTAACTCTTTGCTCCCATCTTATGATCATCTGGATGTGTGCTGTCAAGGCATGTTAGCCCATTCATACGTAAAGTCAAAACAAAAATAAAGCCATAAACATTAAAATTTCAGAATCGTACAGGAACTGTTATTCAGCTACTGCCACCCCAGCATATGCGTAAGATCTCAACTTGTGATGTGAGTGATAAACCATGTATAAATTAGGTGGAAGTAAAAGGCAAATAAGAAAAGTCCAAAGCTTTCTTAATTGCTTGGGGACTGGAGAGGGAGGGAAAGTGCAAAAGAGTAGGAAAGAACTTTGAGATTTACTGTAGAACAGGGGTGTCCAACCAAGGCAACTTTTAAGACTTGTGGACTTCAACTCCCAGAATTTCCGAGCTCACCATGGGAGTTGAAGTCTACAAGTCTTAAAATTGCCAAGGCTGGACATCCTATTCTAGAAGTAAAGATTGATTATGGAATTTAAGTCAGAACATGCTTGGAATCACTATAATTCTCTCTTCCCCACTCAAGCATTGATTCTGGATGAAGCCCACAAGACAGCTTGAGCTTAGTCTTAATTCCTAAGCATTTTGAACACACAAATCAATAGCATTCTTCTTAAGGCCACCCTAAGAGAGAAAGAGACTGACTTTTTAGTTTCTCTCCTGCCTTTATTATTATTTTTAATATAAATAAGTCCCTTGACCTAACTGACATTTTTGGTCCTTTCCTGGCTGTGGGAAGAAGCAGTTGGATACAGAGGGATCATAACAGGCCTTGAGTTAGGGGCAGAATTCTTCATTCAGAGGATCATCAAAATTGACTGGTGATGTTTGGAAACAGGGGGCAGTACAATTCCAGTGGAATCTGCAGCTCTGGTGATTAAATTCTAAATGTAGGAACTGCCAATTGTAACACTCCAAAACAGTCCATGCCAGTCTGGGTTTAACCAATGCTTGATTCCTTATGCTGCAGCATTAAGTGAGCACATTAGGCTGATCATGTATTTTTTTGTTTTTGTTTTTACTTATATACTACCTTTATTAATAATTATTACTTTTGTTGCAGTTAATTTGCCATTGTTAGTTATTAATAATTATTAATAATTCAAGGCAGCAAACACAATAATTAACAAATCTTCCTCCAGTGAGGTAAGTTGGTCTGAGAGAGAATGACTGACCCAAATTCTTTAGCTGGCTTTCATGGCTAAGGCAGAACTTGAATTCAACTTGGCTTTCTGCTTTCTAGGCTGGTTCTTTAACCATTAGACCAAAGTGGCTACCTTTTTTCATTAATTTAAGTCATAATCATGCCCTTGAATGTTTATTTTTATGTTATTGTTTCCATTTGGGAGGGGAGAACAAAATCCTGTAGGTATTTAAAGGACTTGCATCCAAAATAGCTTCTAAATTCAGAGCAATTTACATTCCTTTAAATTGTGGGTTTACGACATTTTGCAGTGGTGAAACACCACTCTTGGAGCTCCATTTAACCAGAGCGTTCAATCTTTAAAACAAATTTATAACTGCTTCCCACATTTGAGTACTAAGGTATGCAACCATTGTGAAAACTTAAAAGGAAAAGCAGAAGTGGGGCTGGGGAAAACAATCTACTTTTCTCATTTGATTCATAAATAGCTTTTCATGACACTCACTTAAATACTGCAACTACTGATTTAAACAAATTCAAGCCCATAGCTTTTTCCCTTTAATAAATGCCACCCTGCTCAACAAGGAATCTTCTCTGTGCCAACGTGATTTAGGGTTACAATTTTGAGTTTTATTTTGGCCCCACCTGATTCCAGTAAGGATATATACATCCCCTATGTGGGTGGGGCATAATTTGGGGTACATCACCTCAAATTTACTGGCATCTACTTCAGAGTGAATGTTCAGCCAGATTTAGTTCTACTGAACAAAACGGGCCCAACTACAGATCTAAAGTTTCCTGAATCAATTCTTTCTAAAAGAAAAGCAATGGAAAAAGTAGGAAAATATAGAAAGGTTAAGAGAAGACAAAATGTCAACTCCTTTTCTATCCAAGGAACGAGTTTAAAAAATCTTCACAAATATACCTCTACTTGGAGAGAATAACACACCGATTATCACTGACATTATTTTGCCTCCAAATTAACATTATTACTAGGAATACGTTGTAAACTCCTTTGGTCTCAACTAGGACTTATTCCACTTCTTGGCTAGCACTGGGTATTGGGTACAATGGCACCATTTCTTTAGTTACATCAATTTATTTTCTAACTTATTTTGTGTTGTTGCATTCTGTTCTGCCCAGTGCAAATCTGTGCAGCTTTAAGAATGAGCCAAAAACAGAGACATACCAAAAAATATTTCAAGGCCTGCCATCAAAATAAGCCCCATTCTCAAAATTACTGTTCTTTTACCTGGGAGAAAAAGCACTTTTCCTATGGATTCAACCAGTCTCTTTGCTACTGTAGCTATTATAAAAGGCACAGGGCCGCCTTCAAGGAAAGAAATTGGTAGCAACCTTTTATCTCCCTCCCTTCCTTCCCCCACTGCCCCTCCCCCCATTTAACTGGATTGAGAGCATAATTAATTGGCACTCAGAATGTTTCCAGCAAAACAAAACACCCATTGAAGCAACCTCATGCACACATGCTCACCATATCCACCCCTAAATCTCAAGTGGTTTTCAAGGAAAAAATAAAAAGGGGTGAGGAGGGAAACTAAGACCTTATGTTCAAATCATCCTAAGGCGGTGTTTCTCAATCTTGGCAACTCTTTAAATCAGGGGCCTTCAAACTTGACAGCTTTAAAACTTGCGGACTTCAACTCCCAGAATTCCTCCTCTAGTCATGTTAGCTCAGGAATTCTGGGAGTTGAAGTCCACAAGTCTTAAACTTGCCAAGTTTGAAGACCCTTGCTTTCAATTGTGCAGGACTTGACTGGATGGGGAATTCTGGAAGTTGAAGTCCACAAGTCTTAATAGTTGCCAAGGTTGAGAAACAATGCCCTAAACCATGGCTTAGTCATGGTTGAAGCCACACATACAACAGGTTACACCTAAACCCAAATTAAACTATAGCCAAAATCAAAACTGAACAAGCCATCTTATAACTGAACACAAGGTAGGTGATCTTAGCTTATTGCTGTGGTCACCTACATATTTATTTTGGTTAGATCAACCTTAGAGTAATCAATGGCTTATCACAACTTAATGAACTGTAACTATCCACACTACAACAATATGGTTACACAGGCAAGTTTCTCCACTAAGCTAAAAATTGGAGGAAGTCATTTGTGGTTCAGTGTGTTGCAGGTACACATCCTCTTTGACCGAATGCACAACTCATTTAATTCAAAAGAGCTGGGTACAAACTCTAGGCGCTGAAGTGCAGAAAAGATGCATTCCCATGATACCTTGAACCCAAAGTCCTCAGCTCTGCAATGAAATGGCAAGTCTCTTTTGAGAACAGATGCCCCCTAGAGGCCAGGAGGAAAAGGCACCGCGCCCGCTTACCGTCTTGTCGTTGGGCTGCTGCTGCTGCAGCTGCTTCATCATGATGCTCCGTTTTTTGTCCTTGCAACGCTTATTTTGAAACCAGACCCGGATCACTCTGGGGCTGAGACCGGTCATTTCCACCAGCTGCTCTTTCATGAGGGCATCGGGCCGGGGATTGGCGGCGTAGCAGGTCCTCAAAGTGTGGAGCTGCTTTTCATTGAGGACAGTCCGGACGCGGGTGGTCTTTTCTGGCTGCTTATGGACGTGGGGCCGGAGAGCCGGCTGCCTGGCAGAGATAGGTTCTGCTGTAAGGAAGGGAAGGAGGGAGAGGCGCCTGGTCAGTGAAAGACCAGAAGGTAAACAGACAAAGAGCAATCCCGAAGCTTTTGGGAGATCTTCTGCCCATTCCAGCAGAAAGACTGGATCCTGCCCTGCAGAGTGGGGCGGGATTATCCTAAGCACCTGCCTTCAGACTCCAGCGATCAATGGGAAAGATTCCCCCAAAGCTTCGCTCTTCCTTGAAAGACTCTTTCTCCTTTAGGCTCCTAAACCAGGGGGTCTCCAACATTGGCAACTTTAAGTCTGGAGGATTTCAACTCCCAGAATTCCCCAGACAGCAACACTTTCTGGGAGTTGAAGTCCTCCAGGCTTAAAGTTGCCAAAGTGGGAGACCCCTGTCCTAAACTATACTAACTAAAGTATCTACAGCAAAGGTCTTCAAACTTGGCAAGTTTAAGACTTGTGGACTTGAACTCCCAGAATTCCTGAGCTGTCATGACTGGAGGAGGAATTCGGGGAGTTGAAGTCCACAAGTCTTAAAGCTGTCAAGTTTTAGTTAATTAACTGATCTACAGTTTTAGTTTGAAGCTTTACCTATTAACCAATCACCCCCCCTCCCCCACTTCTCAAAATGAATCCAGCTAGCCTTTCCGAAGCAACTCCTTGTGCCCAATGCCTCAGGCTACTCACAAAATAGCCAGGCTGTCTGAACCCAGAACAGAGCCAGTTCTGTTAGTAGCTGGAACCAACCCTGCTTGGCCCAGAAGCCTCTTAAGTATCTAGAGTGTTGACAAGCAGAGATACTGTCAAAGAAGTCAAGATGGCAGACACACAACTTGTTTGTTTTTTAACCCAGTCTCTGCTGATGCCCCTGTTTGCAAGCAAACAGAGTTGTTAACATCTTGGGAAGGAATGTTTCCCAATGACATGCATTTTTCTTGGTGAGCTCATAGTCCATTTAAGTGGACATCTCATCAAAGTAAATTTTGGCATATTAGCTCAGTCCCAGCCACCATCACCCCACACCAAATCTCTTTGCTGAGGGAAGATGAGAGACCGAGAACATGTGGATTTCTGCCAGTGTTTTAGAAAGTTGTAGGAATCTGAAAGGCGACTGCTGGGAGTTTCATTTATTATCTGTGACAGATGTATTTGAAAAACTCCAAGGAAGTGGTGGTGGGGGACTGTTACCACATCTTTCTCTTGGTGGGGCCCTTAAGCTTTATTCCTAACCCTCAGAATATTTGTCCTTCCCAGGTACAATGCAGGCCAAGGGTACAAAGTATTAAATTAAACTGAAGTGGAGAAGAAGGGTAACAACAAAGAGGCTGGAAAGTTCACACAACCCTCCCCCGCCCTCTATTTAATTGTGGATGGCTAGATTGTGCTTCAGTGCATTGTGTGAAGCCAGAGAGGCTGATTCTCTTCTGGTTCAGTTTGTTCTGCAGCCTTCAGTAATTGGGTTAAATCAGTAAACAAGGAATTAGTCTGTGGAATGCAAGCAGAGGAATACCAAGACAATGATCCAGCTGCTTTGTTATAAAATTCCATGCTTCCTTTTCACTGTTATGATGGCTCTTCCACACCCAGTTATGCACTCTGGATTTTACCCAGAAACATCTATTGCAAATGTGAGGGTTTTTTTTTTCATGCCAATCATTGTCCCTTGCTAGACAAAAAAGGTTTAAGGAAACTATGTTCGTTTAGCAGTTGTTGTTTTTTAATGAAAAGCTATTTCACCAACCCAACCAGCCAAACCAAAAATTCTGCAGGGTTTAATTAAAATTATAAAAGATAATATTTTCAACTGACATCCTTTTTAAGATTGCAGTAGTACAGGTATCCCTCAACATACAGTTCATTTAGTGACTGTTCAAAGTTACAACGGTACTGAAAAATGTGACTTATGAGTATTTTTTTTTTCACACAACCTTTGCAAGCATCCCCATAATCAAAATTCAGATGCTTGGCAACGGTTTCACATTTATGTCCGTTGCTGTGTCCCAAGGTCACGCGATCCCTTTCTCACAAGCAAAAACATTTGGGAAGCTCATTCACTTAACAACCTAACAACTGTTAGGTTGTTTACTAACTGATCAGCTGCCGTGATTCACTTCTGTGGCAGGAAAGGTTGTAAAATAGGGCACAACACCCTTCACAATTGTCTCACTTAACAACAGAAAGTTTGGGTTCAATTGCAGTCGTAAGTTGAGGACTACCTGTATATGCCCTTCATGAACATCCTGGTTTGTAATCTCTAGCTGCAGATAAATACATTTTTGAGAACAATCCTATTCATTGGAAAGTAACTTGCATTCCTATGTGCGGTTTACTCAGAAATAGCTTCTCCCTGGTCAGCTGGTCAGTAAATCATCCTCTGAGGAAGAAAAGTCCCAGTCTGATATTCTTTTCACTTGGCAGAAAATGCTACAGAAAGCTATGAAACCTCTTCATATTTTTTGCTTCCAACTTTAGTTTAGTTAAAGAGGCTACAAAAGAGATGAAAAACAACCATACCTACCAGTAAACAACTTGGTGTCAAATAAACTACCATGGGTTTAGATCTGGTCTATGTGTGTGTGGGGGGTTCTTCTTTCAAATACCCACCTCTTTTCTCATATTTGTCTATTCATCAAAGCAGTCTGTCTGGTATAGAAACAAAGAAAATGTAGTCCAAATGTGGAGCTTACTTGACTGTGGTTTTTAATGCACATTTATTGGGAAGGAAATTGTGCTGCAACCAGTGAGGCTTACTTCCAAGTAGGTCTATAAAGGGCTTAGGCTGCTTGCTCTTTTTACATTTAAAGGAGCCTGCCTGAGAGTACATTACATCACACTATTGTCATGTCCTGGGTTAGTCATGGGCATGTGAAAGGAAAGCAAGGCCTTAAAACTTGAACCATCTTCTTTGCCTACTAATTCCCCCCACCCCACCCCCCCACCCCCCAAAAAATCTAGGGCCCTTTGGATGTAGACTGCAACTGTTTTGGCCACTCAACACCCTCCATTTCCAACAGACTGGGGAAAAGGTTGGTTGAGGGGTTTTATTTGTGGGGGAAATGCCTTCTATAAATAAATAATTAAACTGAAGTGGAGAAGAAGGAACAAAGAGGCCAGAAAGTTTTTTTTCCTCCAAATTTGGGTTGGGGTGGGAATCAGGCACAGGAGGAATAGAATTCTTTATTGGCCAAGTGTGGTTGGACGCACAAGGAATTTGTCCTGGTATAAATACTCCCAGTATGCATAAAAGAAAAGATACATTCGTCAAGAATCATAAGGTACAACATTTAATGATACAGAAGTGGAGTGAAGCAAAATAATGCCAACTTCCTAAACTCACTCTAAAACCCTCAGCTACAATTTCAACCCAAATCGTAAAAAGCTTTGGAAAGAGGCAGCAGGATCTTCTGGAAAGCAATTACCAAAGATTAGCTTGTTGACAGTTGTAAATTACTGCAGGAAGAGGTTTTCCCCCTGTATTATGAGTTTCCCTGTTTCTAGCAACCTTCTTCATCCAATGCTTCATTCTAAGGAAACATCTTTGGAAGAGATCAGTGGGTGGTTGACATATTGGCAGCATCCCACTGGGAGCACACTCCCTCTCCATTCTCCCCAAATCCCCCCTGTTGGGGGTTGCTGAAATAGATTTATTCCAATATATATATATCTTTTTAGGCAGCTATTCTAGGAAGCCCCATTGACCTCACTGAAACTAATGTTTGAATAGTCATCTAAGGAAATTGTACAAAACTCCAATAGAGATCAATATAGTTTGCTTTGATAAGACCAATAGTGGTCTCTGTGATTTCCCCTACTTTTATCTGCAATTAGTATTTGATTAACCTACACCATATACCTGACAGCACAAGATACACACAGAGAGAAAGCACACACACACGGAGTATGTCTGTTTATCCATTTAAAATATACCTAGTAGCTTAATAATCAGTTGATAAGCTACCAAAGATAACACATTATTTACCTTTGGACTATAGCGGACTTTTGATCCATATCAGCCAACTGAAGTTTTGTATTGACTTCAACATGAGATGGATTGAATCTCCTGTCTCTGACAAGCAAACTATACCAGTTCAAATATGTGTTTCCTTAATACCTTCAGGTTCACAGGGTAACTTAATATAAACAGGGTTTCCTCTCTTGATCCTAAGTACACTTACTGGAGAGATTGTGATCCCAGTTGCGTTTTCTCATAAGGAGCGTCTACTAAATACAGAGGAGTTAAGGCTGCCATTTAATTCATGTGGAAATAAACCCCATGGAAATTTAGTAAAAATTACTTTTGAGTAGACAAGTATAGAATTGCACTGTTACTTTCACAGAAAAGGGTTTGCAAACATACTGAGCCAGTTGGATTTATGCATGAACTTCAACAGGTGCAGATACTCACTTCAAGTGCCGGTATCTGCACCTGTTACCCCAAAGCAAAAGCACCACTCATTGTTCTGAAACTTCTTTCTAAACTATGTTATTTTTCTGTAGGAAATAAAAGTCCTTAAAATCACTGGAACTTTTCTAAGCGAATGTGAATAGGCCTCAATTGTGCAAAAATAATGTGAATGCAAATATAATACAGTTCAAAATGTATTTGCAAACCTTTGGGTTTGTCAGGCAGAGTGCCTAATCTTTGGGATAAGACAAATTAGATGGCAACTCTACTTTTACCCTTCCTGGGAATAAATCCTACTGAACTGAGCTTCCTGAAGAAGTGATCCACAAAAGCTCATGCAGCAATAAACATGTTAGTTTTGGAAGATACCCCAAGATTCCTTCCTATTCTGTCATTTCTGCATAAACACATCTAGAATTGTTCTTTTCTGCATAAACACATCTAGAATTATTACTGGTTTCACCGAAATTCTCACATCAAATATCATGTCAACTCAGGCCTTGGGAAGTTGAGATTAAAAAACAGACTATGGTTATTGGCCAGTGGTTGTCCAGTCTAATGAATCTAGGATATTAGACAGGAGTAAGAAGAACTTGATAAGCTTGTGATTCAGTGTTCATGGAAACCAGGCTTTCAACTTAAGGGCAATTTATTTGATTGAGGCTTGTTATGTAAATATAACAATAGTATTTGTTTAACCCTGGATTTTGCCACTGATTTTTCATTGGATTCCAAGAGATTTGATACAGAGGGGGGAAAAACTGATTTGGAAAGAAACTTTTACTCTATATAGGGAGATTTAATGTGGTGAAAACTATCTGGTATAATGGTTAAGGTGCTGAGCTAGAAGCCAAGAGATTGTAAATTCTAGTTCCACCTGCAGTGCAAAGCCAGGTGGGTGACCTTGGACCAATCACACTCTCTCAGTCCTAAGACTAAGAGGAAGGCCAGGGTAACATTCCAAAAATCTTGCTGAGAAAACTGCAGGGACTACACTAGAGTTAATTTTGAATGCCACCCAAAGTTTCTGTGGTGAGATTGAGCGACCATATCAGTGATTTAAATTTGTAGGCACAAAACATACATACACCAAAGCATTCTGTTGTACACCTCATTGACTTGAATGGAAGTGAGTCCAGCAGTCATGCCGAACTTATTCCTCTCTATCATTTTTCAAGTGCATCTTTCGTAGGCACATATCTAGCCAAAACTAAGCAAACTTTCCTGCCCTAACCCTTTAGCGTATGTCTTTTCATGCCCATTAACATATGTGTACTATAATTATACTGCAACGGCTTAGAAATAGTTTCATCCTATTTATTTCTTCTGAAGTTAAAGCTCAGAGGGCAATGGAGTTTGCTCTTGACTACTAGACCTATAGCTTTCCCCTTCTTGGGTGGCAAAGTGTTACCCTTTTGCTTCCACCTCTAATTAATTCCACACCGCTAATTTCACTGTTTGATAAATCAAGAGGGTAAACAATGGAAGCTTATGACAAACGAAATGCCTTAGTTTTTAAGGAGCCCCAAGGCTGCTTGTACTGTAAAGAAAGCTACGGCTTTGCAGCTCCAATCCCAGGGTTCCACGCTTCCTTGGGCCCCATCCTTTTGAGCGCCTGCAGAAAAGTCGCTTTTTGTGTAAGGGAGCTAAATATGGTACAGAACCGGGCAGTTATGGGGTTAGGCTGGGCCTGGGAAGACAGTAAGGTACAAAGCAGCACCAGCCCAAGCTCCTCCCGGAAGGCGCCCAAGAGTACCTGCCATCTGGAGCGGCCTGGCGGGGTGCAAGGGGCTGAGGGGGTCTCCGGCGCCGAGACTGGCTCTTTCCACCACGTCGTGGTCCGCTCGGCAAAAGAGGCCGTCCTCTCGCAGCGCGAACTCGTCCCCAGGAATCAGCTGGCGGCTGCAGGCCACGCAGCGAAAGCACTCGATGTGGTAGACTTTGGAGCGGGCGCGCATCACGAAGTCGTTCTTGCTGAACCCAATGTTGCATTTGGCGCACTTGATGCCGTATAACCTGAGTTCGGACCCCGCCGGGAGGGAGGTGAGGAAAAAGAGGAGGGAAAGGGAAAAAGGAGGAGGAAGAGGAGAATAGGAGAGAGGAGGGGAAAAAATATTTTAGATCCCTGTTAGAATCAAGTTTTTTTTTTTTGACCCGATCCGCCAGACCGCGAGTTTTCAGGCGCCCGCCCAAAGCAACCCTTTTTCTATTGAACTTGCCCAGCTGACTCTCCCACCCATTTAAATAGTGGGGAGGGGGGGGCAGGTGAGGACCCCAACCCAGATTTGGAGCTGCTGTTTTTCGATGCTTAGGCCGCTGACCGCACTCTGCCTGCCCGGCAGAGGAAGGAAGGAAAAGAACTTTGGGGGTGGGATGCATTTTTATTTTTTTTACTAATATATATATATTTTGGTTGTAAATTATTTTTGTACGCGTCTCTTTCCGCAACAGTGGAGAACTGCTCTACAGATTCCGGCATCGAATCTAGATTTTTTTTTTCCCCAAAGGAACCGTCTAAAGCGTTCCTGCGAGTCTAGCTAGAACGGCAAGGAAGGGGATTGCCTACGGTTAACTCTAGACCAATTAAAAGGAGGGCTATTAAACTGTAAAGTCCTATTTTTTTAAAAAAAAAACCGGACCCCATGCTTTAAAAACACAAACGCGCAGGTTCAGGCCGGGTTCAAACAAAAACTCTGCTGAGATTCTAATTTATCCTCTCTTACAAGGATGCGCAGAAAACCATTATGCCCTTTACGCGCTATCTTTGCCGAGATCCTCACACGGGGCCCCCAAAATACCAAAGCAGAACCATACTTCTTATAGAGCAGGCCAGAAAAGGGATTTGGGGAATAGCCAAATTGGGAATCCCCACTTGGGATTCTGTTTTGGAGATTGAGACTCTAAAAGGGATTAAAAAAAACAAAAAGGTCTGAAGATGGCCATTAGCGCTCTGGTTGAACTTCTCAAATGTGTTTTGGTTTGTTGCTCACGGAAATCCTGAAGTTCGTTTTATTAATTTGTAGATGGTGTGAGGCACAAGTCTCTCGGGTTTCCTGGTTCTGGCTTAGCAAAAGCAAGTGGCGAGGCCTACCTTATCGCCAAGGCTGAGGCTTTGATTGCTTACACGAGTGGAAGGACGCCCACCCAACTGGGTTTCCCACCGAAATTCGGTTCTTTCTAGGAGAGAGTTGCGGCCCCGAGAAAACCCGCGATTTTATTTTTTACACACACACACAGAGAGAGAGAGAGAGAGAGCTATCTGTAAGTTAAAACGAATCATTTTGAGTTAACTTGGCCTTTCTCTACCTCGGAATGTAAACTATCTTTTCGGAAAGTAGGGGGGGGAAACATACACCGAATCTTACAAACTTTCCTCCAAAATAGATTGCAAGGGGTTCTAGAGGAGGAACAGGCCAGAAAACTTCTGGAGTACTGTTCAACCCAGCGATGGGGTTAGGTGATATGAAAAGGCGGCTGGACAACCTTCTGATCGCTTCGCTTCTTAGCTCGCCATTAAGTATAATTTCTCTGTTGATCCGGGGCGCGGTTATACCGTGTGTATATATATCAGCCATTCCTTATCTTATCACTGTGCAACCTCTTTTCATAAAAGTAAACCCGAGGGAGAAAATAAATAATGGATAATAAAATAATTACAAAGCCTCAAACTACCGGCTGTTTTTTTCTTAGTGAAGAAAGAAATGGCAGAACTCACTTTCGGGGCCTGGGCCAGGAATAAGCTATTGGAAAGAGCAAAGATGGGAAAAGGCCTCCCGTTGGAAAACGTTTCTTGGGAGCCGGTAAGACCTTCCCGGTCCACGAACCAGCCTCTCAAGCAAATGTGCTTCAATCCAGCCCCTTGAACTTGACTTTACACTTGAGTAAGCATTTCCGAAATACACGTTTTGCGTTAGCTGGAAAGATGCGGGGTTTGCTTTTCAAGGAAACGGATTTGCAAAAGAGAGAGAGAGAGAGAGGCCGAATTGAACGCTGCAGGCCTAAGCAGAGGGGCTGGGACAGTCGTACCGAAGGCGCCAGTGGCATTTACTTCCGAGTCAACCTGCTATAGTGTGGGCGACGGGGGCAGACAAATGGATAGCTGGGAGATACAGCGCCTGTTAACGTAAATTTATTTGTTCGCTTTGCCCGGCCCCGGATTTTAAGTCCACCACACACACCCCTTCATAAAATCCCCGCGGTTCATAAAATCCTGGATTTTGACAACGTTTTTAAAAGCAGCCGCCCGCTTAGAGAAGAAGGCCGTCCGAAGCTCTGGGACTGGCCGCCTTTCAGGAACCGCGGCAAGGCAGGCAGGTAAGGAAACTGGATCTCGTTCCCTAGCGGCCTTTCTGAGGGCGAATATCGGGCGGCGGTGGATTCTGTCGGCGACTTCAGTCTTCTTCGCCTTTCAGAATTGCGCTCCAAGTCGTAAACCAAGTTGTTGTTGTTTTTTTTTGGGGGGGGGATCCAAAAAGCAACCCGAAAGAAGGGTTCAGATCCAGCGAAAAGTTGCTACCGAAAAACAAATTCGCACACGCCAAGAACTGAGCGCCGCTTAAAACACCGCCGCCGCCGCCACCTCCTCCTCCTGCCATTCCTGGTTAGGCAACCTTAAGCAGCCCTCTCCCCGTCTGGATTGTGTCCTCGGCGCAAGCCGCCAACCTTTGCCCCCCCCCCCCCCCCCCCCCCCCCCCCCCCCGCCCCCACGCACCCCCTCCCCCGCCCCCCCCCCCCCCCCCCCCCCCCGCCCCCCCCCAACATCAAACCCAACCAAGGGTACACACAGTAGCTTCGCGTCTCCTCATCCCAGCCTCCCCCTGCCCCGCGGTCACCGAAAAATCCCTGAAATAAGAAATAAGAAAAGCTGCTTCCCCTTCTCTCTTTAAAAAATATTTATTTGTCGGTTTAGCTGTCAGGTCAGCGGTGGCCAGAACAGCAGGATTTATTTATTTTTTAAAATCAGCTCCCAGATTTTCAGGGTAGGAAGGAAGGAAGCCGCTTCCATTATCTAAATGTAGCGATTGTTCGCTAACAGCTGAGGGGCAATTTGATCTCCTCCGTCCAATTCATCAAGGCAGATAAGATAAGAAAGGAGAGGCGGTCCTGGAGCGCCCAAAGGGTTAATATTTAAAAAGATTACGGCCTGTAATCCTACCCACGCGTTTACCTGAGAATAAACCCTACTGAAAAGTCTGGCTCCCGAGTAGACCTTCCTGCAAAAGAAGGCTTTGTGTGGGTTTTCCCCCCATCCTCCATCCCACCCCTTCCAAGCAATTTGTTGTTGTTTTTTCCAGCACAGTGCGGACTTTATTTAATTACTATTGTTAGCATTAATAATGAACAATGCTTTTTTATTTTATTTTATAGCTGTCTTCTATCGCCTTCCTTCCAAATGGCTTAGGGCTGATTCGTAAGGGGGTGGGGAGCAATCCCTCCTCCGCATCGGTGGTTTATTTTCTAAAAGGCGAAGGGGCCTGGCTAGAATGGATACCGAGGGGAGTGGTTGCTATTTTCCTTTCCTTAATGCACTTTCCTGAAAAATAGGGGGGGTGGGATCTGCCCCGGTAAGCGCAGGAGAAACCTCTCTTCCCCACTACCTCCCACCTCATTTCAATTATACACTTAATTAGCTAGAGTTCAGGGGAGGGGATGGATTCATTTGAATGACAACAAATCGCAGCTGCCCCCCCCCCCCCCAAAAAAAATATTACACACGCCTCAAACTGGACCTCACCAGAACAGTCGCAAAAGAGGAGCCGGGAATCAAACAACACCCCCTCACAGCCCCAGCGCTCCTTCCCATCAAACCCGGACTCTCAAGATATTTATTTGATACTTTGGATCTTCTTTCGAATGAAGCTTTTGGGCCAGAGACCCCGAGTGTCAGTAACTCACCTCGGATTGCCCTGCAGAGAGGTTCCTACATCAACCCACCCACCCAATTCAGTGAGCATGGAACATTTTAAAAAATATATAATAATCGCTTCCGAAATAGACAGTTCTGGGATACTTTTGTTTGGCTTGTTCTACCTAGGAGGCGTATTATTTTAAAAAAAAAATCTTTGGAAGGTGTGGGGTAGGATTAATACGTTTATTTCCCACCACTTTCATAGATTTAAAGCCAAGAAGTTAACCCCGACTATGGCAAAAGCAGCTGGCCGCGAGTCCTTCCTCAGCTACCCAGGAAGTAAATGCACACACAGAGAGAGGACTTCAGAAGGAGGCGGCCTTCAACCAGCGCCTGACGGACTCCCGAAACCCTGAAGATATTTACTCAGGAGTATGGGGACACTTTCTTGCCACCCGGCCTGTTTGTTAGAGGGCTTTTTTTTTTTTTAAAGGGGGGACATTTTATGCAACCTGCCTCCATCCTATACAGATTTAAAAAAAAACACGACTGAAATATAAAAAGGGGGGAACCCATCACTCTATAATTATGTCTGCATCTCGTTTATTTTCCTGTTTACTATGTTCCTCCCACCTTTATGCTTGAGACTTCGTGTGTGTGTGTGTGTGTGTGTGTGTGTGTGTGTGTGGCTGTGTGGCTGTGTTTCAGGAGCCTGGGTGCACCTTTCTCGGTACATTATTCCAGGCTTCTGAAGGGATAGAATAGAGCTTTCTTTGCCCTAAGAAACAAGTTTCCCCAGTTAAGACTCCAGAAGAATCTCAACCGTTCGGCTGGAAGAGAACCAGCACGGAGCCGCCACCGCCCCCCCGCCCGCACCTCACCCCCAGTTCTCCCCCCCCCCCCCCAATCTACGGTCGCCATAACTCCCAGCGCGGTGCGGAGGGAGGGGAGGGAAGGCAAGGGCAAGAAAGAGACGGGGCTCCTTACCTGATATAGTCTCGCTTGCAGTAGGTTTTCCCATCCCTGACAAAGCACGTACAAGTCTCGTCCAAGTACTGGTTACATTCCGCGCACTTCAAACACGCCGCGTGCCATTCCAAATCCGGGGAAACCCGCAGAATATACTGGTCGTGGATTTGATTGCCGCAGCCGACGCACAAGGAAATCAGCCGCTTTTCTGAGAGGCAAAGGAGGAGAAGAGACATCATGGACGAAGCGCTGGGCTCTCCTACTGAGATAAACGCGCTTTTTATTAGTCCCCGCCAACCCCGCCGTCTGAGCTCTTTAGGAAACGCGCTGCTGGCTTGCCGTTGCATTTTCGGGCAAGGAGGCAGGCGGTGGGTGGGGGGGGGGGGGGGGGGGGGGGGGGGAGAGACGGAGGGGGAAAAAAAGAGGAGAGGAAGGGGGAGGGTGCAAAAGAGAGTGGCGTTTTAGGACAGTAATCGGGATCAGGGTGTGTGTGTGTGTGTGTGTGTGTGTCCATCAAAGGCTTTCCTGGCATAGGGAGAAGGCGGAACGCAAAGTTAAAGTAAATTTGCGGACAGGGTCGGAGAAAGGCTAGCATTTTCCACGCTTTCCAAGCAACCCAAATAACAATAATTTGGAGTCGGGGGTGGGGAAGAAGACGAGTGAGTCGAGAAACACTTAAGCGCGGGCAATAGGTTTACATGTCCAGGGAGCGACCGACCCAGCCTGAAAGCTTTGATTTCTGGGTTTCATTCCCCCCCCCACCCACAATTTCTCCCCCTTTGGCCGCAGACTGGATTCAGCCGGCGTGGGAGGCATTGTCTCGGCCTCAACTGTGCCGGACCTCAGCCCGGATCTCATCCCGAATCAAATTTGGTTGCGGAGAGAAACCTCCTTATTGTTGGTAGCGAAAATGGGATCCTTCGGGGTTTAGAGTTACATCCGAAAGATTGGTAGCGCTGCCGCAGCTTGCTCAAAAGTCATTGCCGAGATTGTGACGGGCCTCTGGCACGGGACCCTTTCGTTCCCCTCTTCCTCCCCGCGTCCCCACCTCACGCCTCTTCAGGCAGGACCACCAAATCCCTCTGCGAATTGGAGGAAAAGGTGGCTTCCCGTTGATCTTCAACAGATTGTCAGCACGTACAAATCATGAGACCCCTTCTGCCACCCACCCACCCACCCACAAACATACACACACAAGCCAGTTTTCAGGCTCCCTGGTTTATAAACCCCGACTTTGGGAGCGGCGGGGTTTTTCCCCTTGGAGAACCAAACCCCACTGGGGGAGCCCTCCAGCATCCCGCCCAAGGCCGAAGGGATCGCAACAGGCACCGCCCCCCCCCATCCCTGCCTTTCTTACGCGAAACGATTTGCTCTCTCCCTGTACTTCGCCTTAAAACGACCGCGAGGAAAAACAGCCTTTAAAAAAAAGAAGCGGTTGCGAACCGTCGCTTTCTTACTTTTCGGTGGGTCGCCCATATCGCCCATCTCTACCCAAGGGTATAGTGTCCACAGTGAAATGGTGCTCGGCTGCCCAGGAACTTTCCCGAGACGATGAATCAAATATAAATAAAATAAATTAAACGAACAAATAAACCGGCGGCTCTGCCTTTTTTTTTTTTTTTTTTGCCCCAAGGAAGGAATGAAGGAAGGAAGGAAGGAAGGAGATGCTGTCAAGGGACGGCAGAGATGCTTGCTCGTTCCGCCGCCGTCGCCGTCGCCGCCGCGCTGGGAATCGGCCTCAAGCAGGCGGGATGACGGGACGCCCTTCTGTCCTACGGTGAGAGAACGGCTCCGTCCGAAGGGTGTGGGGGAGGGGAGAGAAAAAAAGCACCCCACCCGGGTCCAGGCAAGCGACGAGAGCGCTCTCGGAGGCGCTGCCCAGTGCGTGGAAACTCCGCGCGCCTCGACCACGAGCCTCTTCCTTATCTCTTACTCAAACTTCTCTGCTCCAACTCAGCTCGCTCGTCATTGGCCGGCGTAGGCCTCGGGGACGTCAAACCTGCCCTCTTCTGATTGGCCGGAGGGAACACAGAAGCAGCTGTTCTGATTATCATATTTCAGGGGGGTTTGGCGATCCGGCCAGGCGGCTGCTTGGAGAAATTCGCGACAGACGCAGAGAAATACTGGGGAGCGAGTAGTGGAGGGGGAGAAGAGAGGAGGACGGAGAGGGGGAAAGGAAGGAACCAGAGGCAACTTTTCCTCTCCTCGTTTGATTTCTCTCCCCCTCCCCACTCCACACACACACACACACACACACACACACACACACACTCGCTCTTAATCCGTTTTTACTCCCCCCCCCTTTGCATCAACACGCCTCCCCTTTCATTGGCTTAAAGCAAGCAGCTGCCTTTTTACACCCCAACCCCCCGCATTTTCCCCCTTACTACAGTCGCGCAGGATTTTTAAAAAAAAATTGGGGTGGGGGGGAGAAAAAGAAAGAAACGAGATGTTTATTCTCTGAACAGCTTCCCCTCCTTCAGCTATGCAGGCTGTGGAGGGCGCTGAGGGAGGGGGGGAGAGAGAAGGAAATGGGGATCAGGTGACTGATCAAATATTGTGGGAGGGAAAAAAAGAGCAGGAGGAGGAGGAGGTGGAGGGGCGGATTAAAAGCCATGCAATCTGATTTATGCCACCAAAAAGGGGGCAATAAAGGCTTAGCCGCTGAGATTTTCGCCCGCTATCTTTTTGGCGTTGGGGAGGGGGAGGGCGTAGGGGAAAGGGGTCATTTTGTTGTTGTTGTTGTTTTAATTATTATTTGAGGCGAACGATAAAAGCGCCAGCGAGACTCCAGTTTGACAGGACGTTGACAGCGGCTTGATTCTGCTGCCCGTAAAGCTTCAGTTTCCTTCATTTCTTTCTGCGGCTTCCCCGTTCTCGTAGTTAGTGACAGACACAGATGTCAAAGGGAAGGTGGTAGCTGCTGGCAGGTGTTTAGCACTTGGAAGTAGTGCGTTTCCCACCGCTACCCTGGCCCCACGCTAGCCGTTTTTATGCAGGTAACAATTCCCTCCTGGAATGTCAATGGATTTACTCCTGGAGAAAGAGGATAGGCAGACGGAAGGAAAAAGCTAGAGTGAACAATTTCCTCCGCTGGCTTTACTGTGTTGAAGGAAAATCTTATCACAACTACTGCTATTGTGCGTTGCCGGTAGATTTTTACAGGAACCTGCCAGCTCATTTCCCCCAACCAAACTTACTGATACTTCTAGTTCCCAACTATTGCTTTTGCTGTCGGTCTGAAACCTAGAAGTACTTTACCATTTCAGCTTCCCATGAGGAAGTGTGAAAGTCTTGCAGGGCCGGGTTTTTTGGTCCCCATGATTAATAAAACTTATGGACAATCTCTATGTGTGTGGAAACACCAGTCTTACATCGAGACTCGAATCTAATCTTAATCACTTCATAAGGCTAAGGCCCCCTGATCCTAAACACACGTAGAAAACACACGCGGTAAATAGGCAGTTTCATGTTGAATGAAAAGTAGTGGCGAATCCTTTTGGTGATAGAGTACAAAGCATCTCCGCGCCACTGTTCTATCGACACTAAGACATTATAAGTCACTACTTTGGGAAGTGCTACCACTCAGATGGGCGTTGATTTCTCCTGACACGGCATAAAACCATCCTGTGAAGTGTACAAGAAGTGAGGTTAGTTGATATTCTCTTGGTAGAAAGTTTATTAGCTCATATTCTAACTTTCGACTCCTTCCTGTGCGCACAGACCCAGGCATGCATGCATGGTTTGCTCCCAGCCCCCCCTCTTCCCTCCAACGATTTCAGTCTTCAGTGGATTTTTTGAGGATTAAAAGTTTAGGGAATTCTTATTTATTTTTTATTAATGCTGCACGACCCCAGCCAGAGGTTGGACAAGTCTTCAAGATCGGTGCTTTCAACCTCGTTTACTTGTCTATCTTTCAAAGGAGTTTTCCCAGAAGAGACGGAAAAAAAGAATCATCCAAGAAGGAAAGTCTATATAGTCTGTATACCAAGTTGGGTCTCTTTCTGGAGTGGTTTCGGCTTGACTGAGGGGAATCGGGGTATCCCAGCTCACGTCCAGCTTTAGAAAATAAAATCCCCATTTACCAACCACTCCCAAAAGCTTTCCAGCAGCCTAAAAATGTAAAAACGCGTTCGTGTGCTGTCCAACCTTCGTTGTTATTGATGCCCGTGAATTTTAAAACAGGTTCGAAACCAAAACGAAAGAATCAAACAACACCCCTTGAAAGTTGCCGCGGTGGTTGCTATTGAGGTTTGTAAGAAGGAGAGCTAACCCGCTTTTCAACTTCAGCTAAAAAACAAAGGGGAGCAAGAATTTAGCGGAGCTTTCTCGGTTGACCGTCTTGAAAACGATCCTTCGAGAAGGTCAGAAGGCGAACTTGGGCTGTAAACAAACATGGCTGGTATATTTCAAGATTCGGCATACACGGTGGCAGATGTGGGGGGAGGACAGGGAGTCGTGGTGAATTTCATCGCATCCAGGAAAGAGGCGGATGGGAACATAGTTTCTTTCACTCTCCTCCCCCCCCCCCTTACTCCGACCTTGCTACGTTTAGTCTGTAAAGCAACAAGCCAGCAAGGTGGGTAAGAACTAACGCTTTAGGCGCGGGGACCCAAATCCAGGGGAGGGGGGGGGCTGGTCCGCTGACATCGCCAAAGGAGGAGGGGCCTTCTTTCATTCCAGATAATTTCACCAAAAATAAATGCCAGCTAACCCACAAGCTTCGACTCGACATGCAGAAACGGCGCCTGGGATTTCCTGACTAGGAAGCTAGAAACGCCAGCAGGGATTCCGTAAGGCAAGGATGGGAAACGGGGCGAGCCTTCAGCTCCCTTGCAAGCTCTGCAGAGGAAAACCTTAAAGAAGGCGGTGGGGGGCTTGCTCTCCACCCTCTCCCTCTCGGGTTCTTGGAAGTGAAAAGGGATGCCTTTGCTTTAAAATTCACCTTTACCCCAACCTGGTTCAAGAGTCGTGCCTTATGCCCTAGCTACATTTCAGCGTTTAGATCCCGATCGACTAACTACTCTCTCTCTCTCTCTCCCCCTCTCCCTCTCCCTCCCTCTCTATCTATCTCTATCATCTATCATCCCTCTCCCTCCCTCTCCCTCTCCCTCCCTCTCCCTCTCTATCTATCTATCCCTATCATCTATCTATCTATCTATCTATCTATCTATCTATCTATCTATCTATCTATCTATCTATCTATCTCTATCATCTATTTATCTATCTATTTATCCCTCCATCTCTCTATCTCTCTATCATCTCTCTCTCTCTCTCTTTTATCTGTCTATCTATCATCTCTCTATCTATCATCTATCTATATCTATCTATTTATCAATCTATCTCTATCTATCTATTTATCTCTCTATCTATCTCTATCATCTCTCTCTCTCTCTCTCTCTCTCTCTCTCTATCTATCTATCTATCTATCTATCTATCTATCTCTATCATCTATCTATTTATCTATCTATCCCTATCATCTACCTACCTATCTATTTATCTATCTATGTCTATCATCTATCTATCTATCTATCTTTATCATCTGTCTATCTCTCTATCATCTCTCTCTTTCTCCCTATCTATCTATCTATCTATCTATCTATCTATCTATCTATCTATCTATC